CTGTCCTCCTCCTCGCCCTCCTCCTCATCCTCCGCCTCGCCCTCGCGGCAGGTCCCATGCTTGCTGACACCAAGGGAGTGCTGCTGGACGAGAGGATCGTAGCGGCGACAGTCCACACGTGGTTCAAGAGTGGTTGCGTGGCGGTGTCGGCGTATTTTCATGTCGATGAGGAAATGGGGCAGAAGAACATGGCGCTGCTCACAACGTTAGCTCAGTACTTGCTTCGCGTTAAAGCGTTAGGATATGAGTGGGTAGTGGCAGCTCATTATAACATGGATCGTGCTCTGTTGCAGCCGTGGGCGGCTTCAATAGGTGGAGTGCTGGTGGCGCCGTCTGCGCCCACATGCATCCAGAGCACGCCAGGCACGACAATTGACTACTTCATCATGTCCGAAAGGCTTTGCCATTCGGTCTGGGATGATTGAGGTTGTGGATACTGCCGCGCTCTGGCCTCACAAGCCCGTGCTCATGCAAGTTCACGCCAAGGACACCGTGCTGTGGTGCCGTGTTGCGGACCAACCCAAAGCTCTTCCTGTCTTGGCTCGGCCTGGTTGTGGGCGGTATCCACGTGACTGGCAGAAGTTCCATTAAGACGTTCAGCACGCTGAGAATGCCGAGCAGATGGCTTACTTTTAGGACCTCACTATCCAAGGCATAGATGCTGAGCTGCTTGACCGACATGATGTTGTTGGGCCTCTCCGTCACGGCTATGAAGACAGGGCTGGAGAGCATCAGGTCAGATGGAAGAAGCTCCGCGCGGTCCCTCAGCATCGACAGCCTCGTCCCTCTTGTGAGTATGCAGCGTGGAGTGCCGCGGCCAGGTGGGCCAGGCACTTGCGAAGTGTGCATATTGTGCTCGAGTCGTACATTCCCAGGCTGGAGTCGGACATCGATGAGCAGCCGAGGAGGATGCAGAAGGTCGCCAAGGTGTTGCTAGACACGGTGGCGTTCCTCGGCAGGATCCAGAGGCATGACTGGGTGTACGCGCACCTCGACGAGCTGACGGCAAGTTTTTTTCAGGTCTGGAGTGGATGTGATAGATGATCCGTCCACGCCCGATTTGCTTGAACGAGTTTTGACCCTGGCCCAGGAAAAGGAGGCCGCGTTTCTGGCCAGCAAAGAGGATGCCTGGAAATCCTGGGTCAGGGATGCTTTTCTGGACGGGGCCAAGGCTGCCCACCGATTTACCAGGGCTCGTGGAATCCAAGAGGTGCTCACCGAGGAGCATCGGATCCAACCCTTCGAGCTTGCCGACGACACGCGTCGTGAATGGTCCCACATTTGGACCACTCACTCGTGCGAAGACTTGCAGTTGCCGAGCGATTCGAAGGAGTGGGCGAGTCTGCCGCCGATCGGGGTCGACGATTTGAGGCGAGCGATTTCGAGATTTCCCCCGAAGACGGCGGTGGGCTGCTGCAAGGTCCACCCTCGTTCGCTTCAGTACCTGTCGGATGCGATGATGGCGGTTCTAGCGTCGCTTCTGATGCAGTGCGAGAAGGCTCTTGTTTGGCCTACCAAGCGTTTCGTAAGCAGGCTTGTCAGGTTGCCAAAACCAGACGGCGGCCACAGATGAATTGCTATCCCAGACACTATCTTACGAGCGTGGGGGCGCATTAGGCGTTCCGTTCCTGATGATTGGGAGGCGGGGAGTCGTGCGCGGGAGTTTTGGGGGGGTCTGGGAAGGGGAGAAGCTCATCGGACTCCGCGTTCGATTTAAGCCTTTCTGCTGAAGTTGCCCGCGCCAGAGGATGGCACTCAGTCACCCTGTTGCTCGACATGGTGAAGTGCTATGACATGATAAAGCTCTCGGTCCTGTTTCAGCTTTTTTTCGGCGGGTTGGTTTCCCGCTCCGTCTCGGGTGGATGGTCATTCAGACCTACCTGGCCCCTCGGAGAATAGATGCGTTCGGCTCGCTTTCGGAGCCATTTGTGTCGTTCCAGGGGATTTTGGCTGGATGCTCGGCAGCGACATCGATTATGTTGGTTGTGCTTCTGCAGCCAGTCAAGTGTGTAATTGAAAGATTCCCAGCCCAGGCTAGAACTTTAATGGATGATGTTTCGCTGCACTGGGCTGGACCCGACCCTGAGAAAGGAACGGTGGTCCTTGCTGCGGCTCGGGAGTTATGCTCTCTTGCGCGGCCGACTGGCCTTCTTCTGCAACCCAACAAGTCAGGATTTGTTGCCACCAACCTGGCCGCCTCCAAGCAAGTGGCAGTGTCGGCCAAGCTGATCGGCATGCGAGGCTATGAGCATATGCGAAACCTTGGTCACGATTTGTTTGGGCGGCGTGCTCTCCGAAAGGTGGAAGCCAAGAGGCGAGTTGCGCTGGTCAAGAGGAAGCACCGCATCCAGGTGCTTAAGAAATCTGCTGGGACCAAGGTTGCTGGCTTGTGGCGTACAGGCCTCATGCCAAGTGGAGGCCACGGGGCCTCAGTGTCAGGTGTTAACAATGATACGCTCAGAACCCTCAGGGCCTTAGCTGGGAGCCTTATGGGAGCGGGTGGTGCGTCTCACGTGACGGGGCTCTTGTTCACGCATAAGGATCCCAGCTTTGACCCCATCGTTGATGCTACGATCCCGCTAGTGTTCAGGTATTGTCGCTGGGTCTGGGATCGTAGAGCGTCCGATTCTGACTTGAGAGTAGCTTGTTCGTCTGCTCAGGCTCGTTTAAGAGATCGCCCCCATTGGAATCGTGTGCAGGGACCTGTCGGGGCGGTCATTTTATCGTTGAGGAGAGTTGGTTGGGATCTGATTTCTCACCATCAGCTCCGGACTGACCAGTGTGAAATCATCTCGCTTTTCACCACGTGCCCCTGGGATGTCAAGCAGAGGTTGCGTGAAGGCATTTGCCGTGCCCAAGTGCGACAGATTTTGGAAGCTATCCCCGAGGCTGGCGGTGATGAACCTGTCTGGGGGCGAGCGCTCCGATTAGGGATTCTTGCTGTGAAGGACCCCTCTAGGCAGGCGGCCTTGAGAGGCCTAATCAGCGGTAAGCTTTGGCCGCCAGCCAAGAAGCACAAATATGGCTACGCAGCCAGTCCTAAGTATGAATTCGGGTGTGATGCGATTGGCTCTTTCGGCCATCAGTGGTACGAATGCAAAAAAGTCTGGGAGCCTGGTCAGGACCCAGAAGAGGCATCCATGTTCCCAGACGATGTGATTGAGCATGTAAAATGGCTGCGGGACAAGGCTAAAGGAATCCCCCCCGACTTCGACACTCTTGAGTTGGCGTGCGGTGTTCCTCTCTTTCCCCTGAGCATTGAGCCTGTCCCAGCCAGATATCCTCCCCAGGTTTGGGGTGCCACGAGCATGCCGTGGGGGTTTCATCTTTTTACGGATGGCTCGGGCCTGTCGAATGGTCTACCCGAAGCGTGTCGCTGCGGGTGGGCTGTTGTCGAGCTTAGTCCTGGGGGCTGGCCCGTTCGGGCGTGTTTTGGGCCCCTCCCTGGGGCCATCCAAACGGTGCCCAGGGCCGAGAGGTACGCGATGTTGCAGGCGGTGCGCCTGGGCCCGAGAAGTGTGGAAATTATTAGTGATCACCTCTCGGCGGTGCATGAAGCCACTGCCTGGTCAGCCGATCTAGCCGAAGGCAGCCATAAGCATGCGTGCATCTGGCGCGAGATGTTTCAGGTGTGCTCAGCTGGAGCCCCGTTTGAAGATAGGCCTCGGGCTCGCTGGACTCCTGCCCACGGAGATCTCGACTCCCTCCTCTTTGGTGAGCGCTCTCCGAGCCTGGATCGATCCGTGGACACGGCGGTCTTCGATTATCTGGGCAACATGTGGGCTGACTTGTTTTGCCAAGTTGGGAGCGAAGCGGCACGCTGTAGCCAGCATCGCCACCGACATCCTCAAAGCTCAGCTGAAAGACGTGAAAAAGACGTGCCGTTTTCTGGGCCAGGCCGCTCAGTTTGTAGCGTCTCAGGCCGAACCCCCGTCCATGTCCTCTAGGCCAGGCCGTAACTCCATGGCCGTGCCTCAGCTCTCTCTCTCTCTGCTTGCTCACGACTTGGAGGTGGCGGAGGGGGGGGGGGTGAGGTGTACGTGGTGCCATTGCTCTGGCAAGACTGCGCTTTCTCGCGCGAAGCTGGAGCAGCCTGGCAGTAAGTGCGAGCCGACGCCGATCCACTTATACCTGTCGGCGGTCAGGGCAGAGCGTCACAATGGCCTCCTTCCGAGGGCACGCAGTGACGCGGTCCTTTCAGCGTGTCGTGAACTAGGGTTCACGCATGACGGCCTGCATGTGCAGGCTCTTGAGACTTTCGAGTATCGGGGCCATTGGGTGCAGGCCACTGACAAATTTCTGCTGTGCCGCCGCTGCGGTGCTCGAGTATCCACAGAGGCCCCAATTTGGAGGGGGCTCGCGGCGGACTGCCGAGGCCCTGCGGAGAGGGCTTCGGTGCAGTCCCGGCGCACTGAAGCTGCTCCTGCGGGTCGCGAGGTCCGCTGGGGTGGCGGGCCAGGGTGGTAGGCGGCGGCTGGTGCCTGTGTGCCGCTTGCCACCACGGCCCGTGCCCCAGTGGCCCTCGGCCTGTGCGGTGGGCTGCGGGACCGTGACGGCGGGAATCCCGCGCCCCCCCCCGTTTCCTTGCCCGCCAGCCCTCATTCGAATCGGATGTTGCGCCTCGGCCTGATCCCTGATCCCTGCTCTCCTCCTCCTCCTCCTCCTCCTCCTCCTCCTCCTCCTCCTCCTCCTCCTCATCCTCTCCATCATGCAGTCATGCAGTCATCCTGCAGTCATGCGGTCCCCTCCCGTTCACCATGCAGTCATCGTGCTACCATGAGGGACACCACGCAAGGAACGAAGAAGGGGCCTCTCTGGCCACGCCGAGCCTCTGGTTCGAATAGGTTTTCCCCGTCCTGGAAATGAGGAATGACCAGAAAGCCAGAGCTCCTCATTCCTCCGTCCTCCCTCCTCCTCCGTCCTCCCAAAGTGCTCCGTATTTCAGCGTCTTGAATGTATACCCACTCATCGGCTGCCGAAGGAGTGGCCCCGAGCCCCTCCTCCTGACGAGGCAGGGCCTCCACCGAATTGGGTCGCCGGATCGTCTCGACGGCCTGGCGGCAGGTGGCGGGATGCGAGAGAGGAGAGGGGGAGGGAGGTAGAAAGAAAACTTGCGCACACATGCTCATAAGGTTGCGCCCGTCGTTGCCGCTACACGCCGGGAGAGCAGCAACGCGCAAGTGAGGAAGAGACACTTCGAACCAGGACACAGGGAGGAGGGAAAAAAGGGGAAGGGGGAAGAGGAGAGAGGAGGAGGGCCCAGGCGGAGGGATGGGAAGAAAGTGGGAGCGATGGACGGGGGGTGGGAGTAAGGGTTACTTGTTTCTCCTCCTCTGCCTCCTTCTCCTGATGCTGCTGCTGCTGCTCCTCGTACTCCTCCTCCTCCTCCTCCTCCTCCTCCTCCTCCTACTCCTACGCCTACGCCTACGCCTACTCCTACATTCCTTCTCATTGTATACAATTTCTCCCTGTCGCACCCCGAAGCCAGTTTTTACGGCGGGTCGGGCGTTTCGCCTAAGACTTCCTGACCATTTACGACCTTGAGGCTTAAACATTGGCAACAGTTTCACAGATGGAGGGCAGGTCGTTTTCAAAATCTGGCTCCCGCCTTAGCGCCGCACACATTCATTTTCAAAATTTTCAAAAGCTTCACGGATTGAGGGCGGGTCGTTTTCAAAATGTGGCTCTCGCCTTAGCGCCGCGCACATTCGTTCTCAAAATTTGCAAGAGCTTCACGGATTGAGGGTGGGTGTTTTTTTAAATGTGGGTTTCGCCTTAGCGCCGCGCACATTGGTTGTCAACATTTGTAGGAGCTTCACGGATCGAGGGGGGGTCGTTTTCAAAATGTCGCTTTCGCCGTAGCGCCGCGCACAGAAATGGTGTTTTGGAATGGTTCACGATTTTGAGGGCGCAACAGTTACGATGATTCGGGGAGTTGAGGTCCCAGGAATGGCGTTCTGGCACGATTCAGGATCGTCAAGACGCAACAGTCAGGTTCATCCGTGGCGTTGGAATACCGAGAATAATGTTTTGGCATGCTTCAGGGTCTTCAAACGGTTGTCTTCCAACGAGGCAGGTCCCTCTGTGGAAATGGACCGCTGTAGGGGCCTGTGAAGAGGGAGCTTGGGGGGAGGGTTTATTCCAGCATCGTTGGTGACCCTTGGGTTTACACCGGTCCTACTCCTACTCCTCCTCCTCCTCCTCCTCCTCCAACTCCGCCTCCTCCTCCTCCTCGGCCTCCTCTGCTCACCCCTCCCTTCTCCTCCTCTCTCAGTATGACCCTCCTCCTCCTCCAGCGTGTTCCTAAAGAAACTTGCCGGAACGCGCTCTGCAGAATCACTGAGGCCGCTCCCCTTGCCACAATCCTCCTTCTGATCAACCCAACCTTTCTTCGGGTCTACGCCCCCTCCTTCTCGTCCTCGTCCTCGTCCTCGTCCTCGTCCTCGTCCTCGTCCTCGTCCTCGTCCTCGTCCTCGTCCTCGTCCTCGTCCTCCTCCCCCTCCTCCTCCTCCTCCTCCTCCTCCTCCTCCTCCTCCGTGTCACCTCCTCCCTCCCCTGGTCTTCCGTCTCCTCCCTCTTGCCCTTCCACCCCGTTACATGCAGAGCGCCTTGTGAGCGTCTCTGAAGCCTGTTAACGGGCCGCTTGGGGTGCTTCTGGGGCCGTTTTGGGTGCCTCTCGGCGGCCGTGTTGGAGCGTCCTTGGGGGCCTCTTGGGGCCTCTTGCGGGATTTTGGGCCCTCCTGGGAGCCTCTTGGGGCGGAAGCCTTGGATTCTCGGTCCGTGTCCCCCCCTCTGGGGCCCCCCTTGGGACCGTTTTCGGGCCTTCTTGGGCCATCTTGGGCGCCTCTTGGGCCGTCTTGGGGCCCTCTCGGGCCAGCGTGGGGCAGTCTCGGGGGGGCCTTGGGGCAGTCTTGGGGAACGGTCTTGGGGCTCTCTCGGAGGGTATCCAAGCTTTCTTGAGCAGTCTGGAGGCCATCTTGGGCATTTTGAATGCATCGTTCAATGGCTCTGGGGCCCTCTTGGGCCTCCTTGCGCTCTCTTGGGGCCCTTTCCGCCCGTTCAGGGGCCACCAGGACCGTCACAAGGGAATCCTGGAAGCAGTCCGGGGCCCCAGTCCCCTCATGGAGGGTCGACGCAGGTGTTCTCAGGCCCCAGGCCTGCCCCTCTGCGTGTATGTGTGTGTATGTGTGTATGTGTATGTGTGTATGTGTGAATGTGTGTATGTGTGTATGTGTGTGTGCGTGTTCGTGTGCGTGTGCGTGTGCGTGTGCGTGTGCGTGTGCGCGTGCGTGTGCGTGTGCGTGTGCGTGTGCGTGTGCGTGTGCGTGTGCGTGTGCGTGTGCGTGTGCGTGTGCGTGTGCGTGTGCGTGTGCGTGTGCGTGTGCGTGTGCGTGTGCGTGCGTGCGTGTGCGTGTGCGTGTGCGTGTGCGTGTGCGTGTGCGTGTGTGCGTGTGCGTGTGCGTGTGCGTGTGTGCGTGTGCGTGTTGGTGTTTGCGAGTGTGTTTGTGAGTGTATGAGTGTGCGAGCGTGCGAGTGTGTGAGTGTGTGTGGGTGTGTGGGTGTGTTTGTGTGTTTGTGTGTGCGTGTGTGCGTGCGGAGCGTGTGCGTGCGTGTGCGTGCGTGTACGTGTGTGTGTGTGTGCTGTGTGTGCGTGGGTGTGTGTGCGTGTGTGCGTGTGTGTGTGTGTGGTGTGTGTGTGTTGTGTGTGTGTGTGGTGTGTGGTGTGTGTGGTGTGCGTGGTGCGTGCGTGTGTGCGTGTGTGTGTGTGTGTGCGTGCGTGAGCGTGTGTGCGTGTGTGCGTGTGTGCGCGTGTGCGCGTGTGCGCGTGTGCGTGTGTGCGCGTGTGCGCGTGTGCGCGCGTGCGCATGTGCACGTCTGCGCGTGTGCGCGTGTGCGCGTGTGCGCGTGTGCGCGCGTGCGCGCGTGCGCGCGTGCAAGCGGTGCGTGCGCGCGCG